CCAGCCACTTTCACCAATTTGTCTCCTCACTGTCTATCTCCCCTAGCTTAGAGCATCCTACAGGAGCACCCAAGCTATCCTAACAGTCACAGGCACTTGTAGATGCCTTAAACCATGGCTTTCTTTTTTTTTTTTTAACTAGAAAAATTAATGATATGTATAAAAACTATATCCTTCTGCTGCAAGGCTGGATGTTCTAGTGATTGCAATAGGGGTCTCAGAGTCACAGCTGTCACTCCAGATCTACCCTGTAGTATGTGGCCAGGGTGGTTTTCTCCTCTGTTCCCATTTAAGCCCCATGCACGCACACGTGCAGAGACCTATCCCAATGTGCACACTCACTGGCATACCCCTTCTGTGTTTTTTCCTTCAGCTGTACAATTTTCACCCCTATTTCTCAAAACATCCTTGATATTCCGGAAGGTTAATCCACGTGCAGGTCTCAGGAGTGGAGCCCATCTGTCAGTAAGAGATGTAAGACCGTAACAGCAGCCACACTGCACCAAACGTGGTGGTCCCAGCCCCGTGTCCTGTGTGCAGATGTGGCTGTGAGCAGACACCTGGAGAAGAGCACAAGAGCGAGTGTAGGACACATCTCCCAGTATTGTCCCAGTCTCTCATTACTGTGAGCTTTGGAACTTCCTGAGCTGAACTTCCAGCAGCCATCCCCTACCAGCACATCATCTTTAAATTACAATTAAAAAAAATCATATCTTTTCAGAAAGGGAGGTGAAAGCAGCAACATCCTGTTGGAAAGATGGACTGGTACTAATATCTTCACCCATCTGCACCTCAGAGACATGGATGAAAGGAGAACTGAACTATACATCTGAAGCTGAGCCTAAAAGATGCAAAGCCCCTGAGCCACGCCAGTTCTTGCTCAGATTTCCCCCGGCTGCCCAGTGAATCCAAACTGGAGGGGTACTGCCCTCTCCCTAACAAGATACGTGGGCCCAGCAGAGGAAGAGGTTCAAAGGGGAGAAAAGTTGCTTCCCCGGAGGCTGGAAACCATTTCCCGCAAGCAGCACAGCTGTTAATTATCTGGTTCCTTGGTCTCTGAATATATAATATAAAACATCCTCTAGAGACACAGCGGGAGCAAGGGGTTGATGTGTGACCTGGTCAAAGCTAGCAGTGCAGAAACCACAAGGAGAGCCAGAAACAAATCACAGCACTTTAAAGAAACAGAGTAAAATACACCAGGTCTAATCCTGCTGGCAGTGCTTTGTCCTCCTGCAGCTTCTTCACAGCTGTAACCCCCTGAATTTCCCAGCTTGCAGGGGTGGGCTCTGCTAACATGAATAACACAAAACCTGCAATCAGTACCTCCCTTCCCTAAACAATGCAGCAAAAAATTGAACAAGAAGAGTTTGCCTGGCCAGGGCACAGGAGAAAGGCGTTGGTATGAGGCAAACATGGGAACACAGAAGAGAAAAAAGAAGACTTGGGGGGAGGAGGAGAGAATCAGGCTGGAGAGGGTGAGCTGGAGTGCTGACACTGACCAGGACGACCGACAACACGTCTGGAAGAGAGAGGCTGTCTGGGAGGAGGAACACGCTCAGTTTTTCCGAGATTGCCCAGGAAGAGCAAACATTTGATGTCACACGGAATCACAGAATCACAGAATGGTCGGGGTTGGAAGGGACCTCTCTGGGTCACCCAGTCCAACCCCATGCCCAAGCAGGGTCACCCAGAGCAGGCTGCACAGCACCGCGTCCAGGAAGGTCTGGAATATCTCCAGAGAAGGAGACTCCACAGCCTCCCTGGGCAGCCTGGACCAGGGCTCCGTCACCCTCAGAGGGAAGAAGTTCTTCCTCATCTTCAGCTGGAGCTTCCTCTGCTTCAGTTTGTGCCCATTGCCCCTTGTCCTGTTGCTGGGCACCACTGAAAAGAGTCTGGCCCTGTCCTCCTGACCCCCACCCTGCAGATATTTAGAGGCATTTCGAAGGTCCCCTCGCAGCCTTCTCTTCTCCAGGCTATACAAGCCCAGCTCCCTCAGCCTTTCCTCGTAGGAGAGATGCTCCAGTCCCCTCCTCATCCTCGTAGCCCTCCACTGGACTCTCTCCAGTTCACAGTTCAGACACTGCAGGTTGTTCTCTTAAGGGCCCTGCCTTCAAGTGTTGGCAGTGCTAGTGCTTGCTTGAGTTTCCTAAGCAGTTCAAATGCTATGTGAGATGCCTTCTTATCTGGCCATGGGACATCTGTTTAGACGTATCTGAAACTCCAGTAGGTCCCATGTCCTACCCAAAAGCCCTATGTGGATGTCTTAACTATCCTACAATGTCCAACCACAGCTAGATGCCTATGTGTCAACAACTGACTCATCCCTAAAGAATTAGGTGCCAAATATCTGGCTGGCAGCACAATTTATAGAGTTTATCCAACCAAGCTAGCAGGGGACCCACATGCAGAGCAATGTGGAAATCTGAATGATGCACCTACTTCCCTGCATGGCCCAGACAGTCCCACCAAGCCCACTGTGTGACTCAAAGCTGCTTTGACCTGGACAACACAAAATCCAAGACATGGTGGTCTGTGGTGAGAGCTGTATGTCATACACCTCTTGCTCCACAGGCTCCAGATCCAGCCTCCTCCTAAGAATGGGTGCTGCAGCAGAGGAGGTGGCAGGAGCCCTGCTGATGGGTAGAGCATTTCATATCTGAGCCTTTGGGCATTTCCCTTAATCTGAGGATGGCCTCAGCTACATTTAGAGCTCAGCCTTTGAAGAGAGAGAAACTGGACCAGAGTGATTGTCTCTTTCAGCAAATCAGCCTAAAAATGAAGGCTTAGGTCTCTAGGGGAAGTTATTACCGAAGAGTCAGATAATGGCCAGACAGAATGAATTCCCTCGCTGCCTGCAACAGCTCTGCCCTCAAAAACCAGCTGCACACACCAGAAAACAAATGTTTCTCCCAAGACCGGACCTTTCTGGCAGTCCCAGAGGAAGCCTGTAAAACATTAACTACAGCACCTATTCATGTCTTATCTCAAAGGCATAAAAGCTGCTTCTGGGTTTATTTTGGCGGCAGGAGAGTACAAAATGACACTCGCTCAAACTGGCTTAACAACACCTACAGCAGCAAAGGATTTTGCAAATGTGCTCCCTTCTGTAAACACCTCCAGCGTGCCATTAATTATGTCCCTTTTTACCCCGGATAGCCGTGCTAACAGGCTCCATGTGGTGCTCTCTCTCCGTCAGGTCACGCTACGCGGAGTTCCAGTTCAACTGCCAGCCGTCCCCGCAGGCTGCGAGCGGCTGCCGGGGGGGGAGCTACGCGGCCTGTCTGCTGGCGTACACAGGGATCATAGGTAAGGGGCTGCGGCCTTCCCCTGGGCTCGCTCCCACTCTCTGGGTGGGAAATGTCTCCTCGGGGTGGGAAACATCTCTTACTCTGGCCAGCTAAAAGCTGTGAGGACGGTAGGGTGGAGAGCTGTGACTGGGACCTCCAGGAGATGCTGGGCTTTTACTCCGCTGTGATTAGAGATGGAGCCTAAGCCATGAGCATGGAATAACTTTAGGGTAGCTACGGCGAAGGGAGAAAAATCATTGCCCATGGGCTGCTGCAAGATCCCAGCTTCTCTTTCGGGTGGAAATAGATGGGCTGTGCCAGGGTGTCTGCTCTGTCACGGGTTCCCTGATGCCTGCACCAGTGATGCCACTGGAAATCACTATCCGCTGCCATCTTGATGCCTTCAGAGGATGTCAGATTGGGTTTTCAGATGCTGCAGAGACCCAGCTGGCAGCAGTTAGCACAAGCACAGCCAGAGTCCAAAGAGAAGTGCCAATGGCCGTTCGACCTGGTCCATCCTGATGGATGGGATAGATAGACAGCTTTCTGGGTCAAGATTTCATTCTGGTTTCATCCTTCCTTTGTTGTCCCTGACCATTCTGGGGATTGAGTTTGGCTTTTTCAATGACAGCACGGAAACCTTTACGCACACTCACATACAGTTTTTGAATGTTATTAGGGAACCTGAGTTTCCACGAGCTGCCCACTCCTTGGACTGACAGCACGTTTTAATTGATTGAAGGCTTTGGTGGTGGTGGGGTGAACAAAAGGGTTGTGACTGCCCCTCTTCTCCTCCCTGGGAGAAAAACAGACCTGTGGCACCAGCACTTGAAGGGTTTTCTCGTGCTGCCATCACGGAGTGGCTCAGCCGAGGCTGTAAGCACAGCAACCCAAGAGAGAAGCAAGGAGGGAAATCATTGTCCCTTCTTGAAGTACCAGCCGTGCGGTAACACTTCTCCACCCTTCCCGGCAGGCAGCCCCATCACACCCAACTACATTGACAACTCAACTTCCAGCATAGCTCCCTGGTGCACGTGCAACGCCAGCGGCAACCGGCAGGACGAGTGTGAGAGCTTTCTGCATCTCTTCACCGACAACATCTGTCTCCGTAAGTATCACCCAGCACATTGCTCCTCCAGCAGCATCACCTGCAAGCTAATGAGGCTTCTCGGGCATGTGGGTATGAATATATCTTGGTCCTCAAAAGTCTATAGGTGTCCAGCTCCCTGTGCGTTCGACACAGGAGCTCTGAAGACCCTTGGGTATGCATTAGGGTGATGGAGTCAAAGGAGACTGGAAAAGAGATGCGTGTGCTTTTCCTTGGAAATGTTGTCCTGACAATGCTTTTCTCCATCTCTTTTCCACACAAAGAAAATGCCATTCTGGCCTTTGGCAATGGGACCTACCTGAATGCAGCCGTGGCCCCATCCATCCCCCCCACCACACAGATGTACAAGCAGGAGCGAAATGCCAACAGAGCCGTGGCAACCCTCAGAGAGAACAGCTTCGAGCACCTCCAGCCCACCAAGGTAGGAGAGTGCTGAGCTGGCCCTAAGAGATGCTTGGCCATGTCTATACCTCCTCCATGCCCTCCTCACCTCAGCTCCCTCTTCCATCTGCATCATTTCAGCCATGTGCAGATATCCAACCTCCCCTCCATCTCCTGGAGTCCCTGATTTACCTTCTTCTTCGTGCCCTGACATATTCCTCCCAAACATCAAGCACAGGGCTATATGCTCCTGTCCCTGACTCTGCCCTCCTGCCTCTTGGTCACCTCTTTTCTTTCATGATGCTACAGAGAGATACCTTTTTTTTTTAGAAGTCCTGGGAACATCCATGGGCTTTTCAGGAGTCTAGAAGGGGAGCCAGGAGCACTGGTTTGGCTCCTCACCCTCCTGTGGGGCAGCCGCATGGCTTCAGACAAGTGTTTCAGCTACCTGGGCCACAGATTCCTCTCTCGTGACATGAGGATCCTGGAGGTCGTAACATAGAGGTTTAACCGACTAAGATTTTCTAAGCATTGGAAAATTTCACCTGAAAGGTTCTACTCATCAGCAAATTGTTAGTATCAAAATCATATTCAACTGAAACTATTTTAAAACAAGTCACAGATTAATTTACTGATGATGGCAGTAGTAGGCATTAAATATTTTATTTTTAAATAAAAAGCAATGACCTTGATTTTCCACCCACCAGAGTAATTTTCAGATTGAATTATTTTACTGTTGAATAATTAACAGTGACCCTGATTTACTGAACATTCCGGTAACAGAAGCTGTCATTTAACTAGATTCCAAGGGCTGAGCGTGGGCTTTGCAATGGGCTAGCTGGTATCTTCAGGGAGGTTCTACACACAGGGTTTTTTTAAGCCTCTTCTCTTTTTATTTTGCTGGGAAAACATCTGATTCGCCTCCCTCCACTTTGTTTTCACAGAGCAGCAGGTTGGGAGGTGCAGAAATGTGGCCTCAGCTTCCCTCACTGCTTTGCAGGGCATCGGTGGCCATGCACAGCACAGGCGTACTCTCATCAGGCCATAAACTTGGCACCCAGATCTGGAGGAGCTGTTTCTAGTCAGTGCTCCTCAGACCTTAGTGCAATCCAAATAGTGGCCTGAGGTCCACAACTTGCACTGAGAGCTTTATCCTGGAAGTGATGGAGAAGCTGTGAACCTCCCTCCTCACTGACCATCCAGCCCAGACAGCCAACCGCTGCTGCCACCAGCAAGTGGGAAGCTGGAGAAAGTGATTGTAGTCAAGAATGGTCCTACTGTGTCACCAACCTCCACGCAACAGCAGCACATCCCTCTGCTGATGTGGGAGTGCTGTTGGCACATGGGCCCCACTGATACTGCAAGAGAAACTGGGAAGCTGGGTCTTGACTTTGGACTCAACTCTAAACCCAGGCCCTGTTCAATGTTTAATGAGGTTGGTGCCCCTGGACCTGAGAAGGAAAGCTATGATGGATAGATTAGTCAACCTGCTTCCCACCTTCACAGTAGTTCAGACCTCTAAATTATCTCAGTTATCAACTAACGAAAATAGAAATCTCTAGTAAAGCAAATTTTCAGCCACAGATGTCAACACATTGTAAAAGCAGAAGGGTGCCGTTTGTCTGCAGGGTGTAGGCACCCATGGTGGGAGTCAGTCGCACAAACATGTGCACTGTATCTTGGAGTAAGTCACCTGGCTCCCAGCTGCAGTTTGGTGAAGCGTCTTCTAGCCCCGTGGAGCTGTCTTCAGTACCCAAGGGACATCTCCACCTGGAGAGGCCACTGGGTCAAGCTGCTGGCCAGCAGTGGCTCCATGGGCTGCATGGATCTCCGTTGACCAGAGTGGGCATCCAGGCACCCACCTCACACAAAGACACCTCCAACCAGTGTCCAAACCTGTGGGCTGCATGGCCAGTGCTGTGCCCATGAGTTGACCCTGCTGTATGCCACAGTGCTACCACCACCATCTCCAACAGAGCTAATCATAGAATCATAGGTTGGAAAAGACCTCTAAGATCATCATGTCCAACCATCCACCCAACACCACCATGCCTACCCAACCTTACCCTGAAGTGCCACATCTACATGTTTTTTGAACACCTCCAGGGATGGGGACTCAACCACTTCCCTGGAAAGCCTATTGCAATGCCTGTAAACACTTTCAGTAAAGAAATTTTTCCTCATATCTAATCTAAACCTCCCCTGATGCAACTTGAGGCCATTGCCTCTTGTCCTATTGCTAGTTGCCTGGGAGAAAAGACCAGCCCCTACTAGTTGCCTGGGAGAAGAGACCAACCCCTACCTCACTACAACTTCCTTTCAGGTAGTTGTAGAGACGAGTAATGTGCTTCCTCGGCCCTCTCTTCTCCAGACAAAACAGCCCCTGTTCCTTCAGTCATTCCTCATAAGATTTGTTCTCCAGACCCTTCATCAGCCTCCTTGCCCTTCTCTGGACATGCTCCAGCAACTCAATGTCTTTCTTGTAGTGAGGGGCCCAAAACTGAACACAGTACTCACTAAGCTGACCTCCAGACTAGAGCTGGGGTGTTGAGACTGGCCCTGGTCCCTCTGCACATGCACAAACATGGGAAGGCTGCACGGTCCCCAGGCCCTAAATCCTCAGAGGGACCAAGGTTAGGAACAACCCCACTGCTCACCCCGTGCTGCCTCTTTTCTCTTGCAGGTGGCTGGAGAGGAGAGGCTCCTGCGGGGCTCCACTCGTCTGTCATCAGGGACCTCCAGCCCAGCAGCTCTCTCCCACTGGGCAGCCTCTCCACTGCAGATGTGGCTCCTCCACGCTCTGGCTGTGCTGAGCCTCTTCGTGATGTGAAGCAGGGTGGGCACACGCCAGGCAGAGACTCTCTTTGTGTTGGTTTCTTTATAAAACAACCAGACCAGTAACTTTCTTGGGGGGAGGGGGGTGGAGGGAAGGGATGGGAAGCAGAGTTGAGTGTGTGGGCATCCCTTCCTCCTCCTCATCCCTCTGCCAATTTATTTGATTTTATACGATCAGTATCATCGACAACCAGCTCATTCTTGGTCCTGGCCACCTTTCCACTCCACAGACTGGTTGTTGTCTCTCCAGCTCTCTGCAGATGGGGTTGGAGCCATGGACAATTCCATTGGAAAAGGTGAAGGAGAGAGTCGAGTCAAGAAACGAGAGATGCAAAGGAAACTTGCCTGCCCCAGCCAAGAGGGGAGAGAGTTTTGATGGATGAGCTGTCAGGAGGTTTCCTGAAGCCCTGACTCACGTTGGGGGGCTCTTGACAGGACACATCAAGCGATGTGGAGTTCAGACCCTCTCCAGGGTTGTTCAGGACCTGAAGGGCAGCCCACCTAGTTCAGACTAAGAAACCAGAGCACCAGTGAGAAACTGGCTGGTTTTGTTCACCGGCGAGGATCCTGAAGCGCCTCTGGGGTGGACCAAGTAACCATGCTACAAACTGGATGGCAGGGATTATCCAGCCGCTTGAAATCATGGCCAGTGTGCAGCCAGCATGCAGCTCCAAGCTGTCATCTAAGCCTCCTTTTTAGAGAAACATGTGTCATGTATTGATGGTCTTCAGGAAGAAACACGTGTGTTGTGTTTTGTTTATGGCTGGCTTTCTTCGCATCCCAACCCTAGCATCTCTATTCACTGGTCCTGTAAAGTGTTTGGGGTAGGTATCTTTTTGTTGCATCCAAACAACCAGAGGCCAGTCTTGTCCCACTCCAGATTAACTTTTCTCCACGAGGGATGAACGCCTGTGGGCAGGACTTGATGTCAGCCCAAAGCAACCCATTCTCACATGCTACCTGTGCATCTGCTGGTCTCACAGGGAGGCACAAGGTCTTCAGTCAGGGGTTTTCGTTAGTTTACCTAGGAAGAGGTAGGATAGGAAAGGTTTGCTAGATACCACCCTGGAGACAAATATCCAGCCAATTTTTGGAAAGGCCAAAGCCATGAATCATGTTGTAGTTGGGGAGTGGATTGCTACGGTTCCCCTCCTTGAAGAGCTGGTGGAGGCAATTGTTTGTGTCCAGGTTAGCACATGAAGGACATTGCCTCCTGCCAACTGCTAATTACTCAGCCGAGAGGTGGTTTAAGCAAAGGCTGGTGAGGTGACTGCTCCACTGAGCTGCGACCATAGTCCACCTGGAGAGTGAGGACAAATGTCTCTCTGGTCTCTCAGGGCACAAGGAGGCAGATGCGTGACCTTGGGCTACCTGAGCATTCAGGGATCTTCCCTAGAGGAGGTGAGCTGCGGACTCCCAGCGTCTTCTTGGGGGACAGAACGCCTCATTAGATCAAGCCAAGAAAGAAGACGGTAAGGAAGGGTGAGAAGATTTCCCAGGATAAATGCTTACCCAGGTTGACTGCTACAGGAGGCAAAGGAATAGCTCCAGATTCTCCCTGAGTATTTAGGCCTGGGCTTTGCAGCAGCCCATTTATTCCTTGGTTTGTGCTCCTTCAAGGAACATCGTTAGTTCCTTAGCATTTGCATGCATAGAAAGGCTCAGCAGCAGCTGACGCAGCAAAATCCAGTGCTTTTTATTTACATTCCCTGCAGAAAATCTCTGATTTCTTTTTTGCTCCATATTTTGCTGAGAAGCTGTAGCAACATTCTTGGGGTTTGGTCCAATATGAAACCACTCTTGTTGTCAGATGAACATCTGTGGATGTGTAAGACACTCACAGAAATCCTCCTGGCTGCATCCTATCCAAATTTCTGCTCCTCGACGTCCTTGGGGCTGTGGCGTCTGGTTGTCCTAATCCGGGGCTGTGCAGAGGAACGTGCCAAGATCCAGACCTTGTGTGCAGGGGGCCACTCTGAGCTGAAATACGCACGTGAAATCTTCTCTGCCAAAAGGCTCAGCCAGATCAGAAAAGCAGGCAGGGAGGTAGTGCTACAGGCAGGAAAGTCCCTCACCTACCTTCAAAGTGCTACAGAAGTGCACTGAGTTACTGTGATCATCTACCCCTTACCCAGGACATCAGTGTCCTCTGAGAGACCGTGCAGGCATCTGCGCACCAAGTGACACAACTACCAGCTGCCACTCTGCAAAACTTGTGTCCTCTGAGCCACAGGCGAGAAAGGGATTAAACCCTGATGCTCAGCCCTGCAAAGGCAAGGAACTACCTCAACATCATGAGGGCATGCTGTCAATTGCCACCTTCTGCCGCTTTCCTTTCAAGTCCTGTAGTCATGCCCTGCTCTACACATCTGGCCCCAGCAAGCTGGGTCTCCACCAGCCTATAATTTTCTTGCATGGGCTGAGCTTCTGCATAGGATAGGCGTGCAAGTGGCAGCTGCTTTCCAGCTGCACCCACTCCTGATGTCTCTCACGGCACACTCCTGCATCTCTTGTAACTCTCTGGTGGCGTTGTTGAAATGCCACCCTGCCCTTTCCTTCTCCTATTGACAGCCAGCAAGAGATGGACTTTTTCTAGGTGGTCAGGATGCCTGGCAACCCCACTTCAGGTCTCCCTTGGGACTGGTATGCTGTGAAAAATCAATCTGGAGAATCCTATGCATAGACTATCGGAGATGGAGGAGACCTCCAGAGGTTACCTAGTCCATCACCATGTCCCACAGCAGGACCAATGGTCTGTTTACACTTTCTGGTAGATTTATCTTAAACAGTTTTTAACAATTCCAATGAGAGACATCATCATCTTCCCTGGATTTATATCTTGCTTTAAAGACTCCTTAGGATGTTGTCTCTAAGCATCACAGGCCAATGAGACCCTTCATTCCCATTGCAGTGTCTTCTCAAGCCCTCAGATTTGGGAGGACGGCAGATGAACAGCTAAAAGTGCCCCAAGGCTGTGGAAGGTGACAGCCAACTACCATGGATCATATCACAGAGGCATTGCATGAGAAGGTCAAACAACCATGGCAATTATCTGCTGGAAGCCCTGAAAAAATTGCGCAGTGAGTTAGTGCAAATGGGTGCCTGCTAGAGGAGTTTCCTCACCACATCCTTGGGTTTCTTCCCCACGCCCTTGGGTTTCCTCCCCACGCCCTTGATTGAGGGACCTCAAAAGCACGTGCAGACTTGAGGTTGCAGGTCTGAAAATTCATTGCCGGTCCTCAGAATTTGTCCTGGGCTGTGAGTTTGGAAACGGCCATCTTCAAGCGCGGTCCCAGGTCAGGTTCTGTTCTCCCATGGGTTCCCCATAGCCTGGGGGTGCTTCAAAATGAAGTCAGCAAGGCCCACAGCAACGAGTCTCTTGCCCAGCAGGGAAGAGCCAGGGTGGGCAGATGGACCGTCCTGTTGCGCAGAATTAAAACAAAAGGTGATCCAAAAACCTGCATGACTTTTTCCTGATCATTTCACCCTTTTTGCCAATATTTAATGTCAATTCCTCCCTCCAACCCTGTTCCTCAATCGATCTTTGCAAAAAAAAGGATGGCTTTCGAGCAGTCCTTCTGGAGGCAGGAAACCCGATTCCATTCCCCCACCCACCCACAGAGACACACGTACACCGGCCATTTCTTCTGCTTTGTGATAAGACAGTAATTTTTTTTTGATGAAATTTCATCTCTGTTGAACTCTGCGAAGTGAACCGCGGATCTTCATTTTTAAGCCTCTTGACTAATCACCAAAGTAACAGCAGCTGCTTGTAAAGGCAAAGGACTGAGCGAGCCGAGAGAGAGAGAGCAGGGGAGACATTTTTTTTAGGAATTACTCCATACCTGGGGACTTTCGTAAGCACAAAGAAGAGTCATGGGAAAAAAAAAAAATAGAAAAAAACAGAACCAGCCAAACTTTCTGTAGCCACCGAACTCTCTTTTTTCAGCTGCTCAAGCACCGTTCCCGGTGGTTTGGCGGTCCTGAAAGCCCGTAAAATATTGTATATGTCCAAACACCACATTGCTGTCAAAGCAAGAGCGTGAGCGGGGAAGGAGGCACTGCGCGGGGAGCCGGTGTTGGAGCAATAACCCCATGGGTAGCAGGGGGATGCTAAAGGCTGCGTGCGCAGACGTGCGTGAGTGTACGCGCGTGCACGCGGGGGACGATGGTTGATGTCTGCCTACGCTACTGGGGTCTAACCCGTACTTCTCTCTTCTGTACATGTCAGTATTCAAACATATCCATGAATAAAGCACACATGCATTTTCCTGACCCTCTTGCTCTTCTCTGCGATGCCAGGCTGTCCGTGCCCGCGTGTCCCGGCTGGTGGGGATCTTTTTTTTGGGGGGGATGGCAGAGGTGTGGGGCTCAAATGCCCCATGCTTGGCTGGAAGCCCAGCTCTGATCTGCTGCAAGGAGGAGCAGCAGGTGAAAAACCAACTCTGCTGAGATGGAAAGAGGTCAGTGCCACCCGGGAAGGTGACAAGGACCCATGCGAGTCCTGGGGCTGCTTGTGATGCACGCGGGGGTGAAGCACAGAAAGCTTTGGGAATGATGAGGGGACTGGAGCATCTCTCCTATGAGGAGAGGCTGAGGGAGCTGGGCTTGTTCAGCCTGGAGAAGAGAAGGCTGAGAGGGGACCTTCGAAATGCCTCTAAATATCTGCAGGGTGGGGGTCAGGAGGACGGGGCCAGACTCTTTCCAGTGGTGCCCAGCGACAGGACAAGGGGCAATGGGCACAAACTGAAGCAGAGGAAGCTCCAGCTGAACCCGAGGAAGAACTTCTTCCCTCTGAGGGTGACGGAGCCCTGGCCCAGGCTGCCCAGGGAGGCTGTGGAGTCTCCTTCTCTGGAGATATTCCAGCCCCGCCTGGCCGCGGTGCTGTGCAGCCTGCTCTGGGTGACCCTGCTTGGGCAGGGGGTTGGGCTGGGGGACCCACAGAGGTCCCTGCCAACCCTCACCATTCTGTGATTCTGTGATCTGGGGAAGATT